TCAGATCAGCCTGGCCCTTTCAAACCAGAACTTGTTTTAGAAAGAACATACGCCCGACTCAGTCACCCTTGACCCAGGCCTGCCCATAGAGATGAGATAGCACAGAGGTGATGTAATCTGACGCTATCACTTACCAGCTGGGGGACCTTGGGCAACTCTCTAACCTCAGTTTCTTCATCTGTAGAATGGGGCTCATGATAATGCATCTACTTTTAGGATAGGATCATACGGCACAATCCCGATGTAAAATGCTTGGAACACGGCTACCACATAGTCAGACTACAAGCAGTGCTGGCCATTATTATTATTACTATTTCCATCCCAAGCACAATTCTGCCTCTCCCTCCCTCATCAGGACAAGCCCTGTCTGAACACTGTACCAGAAATTTTTAAGGTAGTGGATCCTAAGAGGGATCCCAGAGTGCCGAAAGCTTACTGTTCAGTAGGAAAGAGAGAATCCTATACCACTGCTGTCTCTTTAGAGCAGAAATTTTTGAGAGGCTTCCTGGAGGAGGTGTGGTCTGAGTTGCATCCTGAAGGATGAGAAGAAGACAGCCGATTGAAGGAGCTGGAAAGTGCTTGCTTGGAAACACATAAGCAAGGCGTGTTTGACGAATTGCAAGTTACGCTGCATGCTGGGGACCAAGACGGGTGTGGGGGGTGGGGGGTGGGGGTGTGTGTATGTGTCGAGGGGGGGGGGGGTGTGTCGAGGGGGTGGGGGGTTAAGGCATGAGGTTGCTGGAGGCAGGTGCTGAAAGGCATCTGGAGTAGAGGAAGGAGGCTCTAGAAGGTCCCAAACTAAATCGTACTAGTGGGGATAGAGCAAGGGAACATACGTGAGAACTGTTTGCATTTTTTACCTATGGATGGAATGAGGCAGGGAGGACAGGATCTGGCTGTTTATTTCATGTCGGGGGACAGGGCAGGAGAGATGGGAGAACCCAGGTTTCTGTCTGGGGCAGCTGAGGCATTGCAGGTGAGGAGAGATGAAGGTACCAGAGTGACGTTGCCACCCAGGGACAAGGTGTGGCCCAAGAAGAGAGGGGAGGACAGAACCCTGTGACACACCGCAAAATCTGACTGGTGAGCTGAGAGAGGAAGGAGAACCAGGTGACAGGAAAACTTCCCTCCAAGGGGGCATCTCCCCCTCTCCACGAATCCAAACTCCTTGGCTGGAGGCCCTCACTCCTCACTCAACACATTCTGCCTGGGCTGCTGGCCACCCTCAGGCGTGGGCGTCTTGTCCTCCAGCACCACGGAGGACACGTGTCCCCTGCAGCAGTCCTGGCACATCAGAGGTGCCCAAGGGATGTCTGTGGTGACGGCAGCTTAGTGCCGTGTACTGCAAACATGTGGGGTTTCCCCTAAATGTCCTTCTTTCCCTGACCCAGGGTCAGCCACCCCACGGGGGTCCACACGCCCACAGCCCAGTTCCAACCTTGTGGGGCTGAGAGTCAAGTCCAGGTGACAGAGGAGGGCGTGAAGGTGCTGCTGCCACAGCTCCTGCCTCCTGGACCCGGAGGCCCTGCCCACGTAGCTCGCCGGGCAAGCAGCTCGGGGCCCACCTTCCCGCTGATTTGAGGTGGTGGGACTGGAGCCCCAACAGACTCCACCAAATAACATCTCTACAGGGTTTGGACCAAGGAGTAAGGCCAGAGTCAGCCCGTGAACACCACCACTCCCAGCACTTCCTCGCCGAGTGACCTTGGGCAAGTCTTTTAACCTCTCAAAGCCTCCAGTTTTGCAGGGGGTCCTAGGGAGGATTAAATAATTCCCTTAAACGCTTAACATCATGCCTGGCAACTAGCTAAGCATTCAATAAATGGTAGCTATTATTATTATTAAAGAGCTTCCTGGCATGCTGATGCAAGTTAGAGCAAACGAAAATGCCTTTGACAGCTCCCTAATGCAACACCTTCCACCCCACCCCTCCTCCACCACTACCACCTGGGAATTAATTATAGCCCTCCTTGGGTGTTTTCCAGACGTGGATTTTACACTTATTCTAGGTTGCAGAACTAGAATAAATGGAGGCAGGTTTCAGTTCAACTGATAAAAAGCTGCCTCAAGTGGTAGTGAGCTCCCCGTCACCTCACGTGAACAAGCTGGCCCAGATGACCATTCGGCACTAAAGCTCTAAGTTAACATTCCTCGCTATACAATTGTATTATAATTCCCTCGCATTAAACAGTGGTGCCAGTAAGCTGTAATGCTTTGTGTCATCTGGCAAAATGAAAAATTGGCAATCCTACTTTGACCTTCCAAAAATTTTTTTCTAAAATTGTACCAGTTTGTGATATCTAAAATCTTAACTCCCACTTCAAAGAGCCCCTTCCTGGGTCTAAGATTTAAGACCCCATGACACAGACACCTAAACAGCCCCATTTGGTGCCCGATTTGGTGCCCGATTTGAAGCTATTTCTTGTGCAAGAGGTCTTGAATCTAAAACGTGGCTCAGGGACTTCCCTGGTGGCGCAGTCGTTAAGAATCCGCCTACCAATGCAGAGGAGAGGGGTTCGATCCCTGGTCCGGGAAGATCCCACATGCTGCGGAGCAGCTAAGCCTGTGCACCACAACTTGAGCCTAGACGATCCCTGGTCCGGGAAGATCCCACATGCTGCGGAGCAGCTAAGCCTGTGCACCACAACTACTGAGCCTAGAGCCCACGTGCTGCAACTACTGAAGCCTGTGCGCCCTAAGAGCCCGTGCTCCGCAACAAGAGAAGCCCCCGCTGCCAGCAACCAGGCAAAGCCCGTGCGCAGCAACGAAGACCCAACACAGCCCAAAATTAATTAATTGAAAAATAATAAAAAAATAAAACATGGCTCAGATCAGTGAAAATCCCAGGGGCAATACCAGCAAGTGCCACTGGGGCTAAGCTGGGCCGGGCCAAAGGAATAGAGAACTGGAAGAGTGTTAAGCAGATGCAGAGTAGGGTCTGCCCAGACTCCTTTCAGCCTACTCCACCTCCCGGAGTGCCCAGTAGAGAACACAGCGAACCCAGATCCCTCCCTCCCACCATCAACACTCAGCCCCAGCCTCATCTCTGCTCCAGGGCTTCAGCCCTCAGGGAATCTCTCCTGGAAGCCAGTGTGGCAGTGACCTTCCTCTGGGAAAGGTGCAGTCGGTCTCAGGACTTAATGTAAAGCAAAGGAGTCAGCAAGCAGGAACTGGATGGACCCCAAGTTCTTGGGACTTTACCTTCCCATCTTATCTCCCAGTGCAACCTCCTTCCCAATCATTCAAAATGATATTCCCTTCTTTCAACTTTTCAGGCTTTGAAAAATCAGCTGACTTTGTAACTCAGGGCTCCCCCAGGTTGACCCATTACAAATTCAGGACACCCACCAGCTGCACCCTAAGGTTCCTGCCTAACAAAAAAGGTGGTATCCGTGTAGGTACGGGTCTTTCTAGGATGCAAGGAAGAGCAAGCTGTTCTGGACTGTCTCTCCCTTTTGTGGTCCCACCAACCAAGCTTCCTCCCCAACCAAGCTCTGGGCGACCCCAACTGTCCCAGATTCTGATGGCTACATCCCGCTGCCCACCCACCAGAAGAAAAAGGAGCTGGAGGACAACATGGAATCAAGTATACATTTTAAAAATTGTTTAATGGAACATAAACTCCTTTAGAAAAACATTCAGCTAGGTGATAACACCCATAGAAAAAAACACCAACCTTGTGTTTATCTTTTTTAATTTGGCATTTGTTATTTGCATTTATATTAAAGCAAAGTGCATCTTTTCTTTATTTTTGTTTATACACATTGCACAATACATAAATAATGATGCTTATAAAACGTCTTTATATTTACAAGTAATAATATATTTATATATAACATAAAATACATTTTTTCTTTAATAAATCTCAGGGTTTTTTTTTTCAGGAGTCCTTTTTCTCTCAAAGCACTACAATGCTAAATTTCCAATGAGAATGCTTCTCTTGTTCATTTAAACCTCTGTAGTTAGAAAAATAGCTTATGTTAAAGTCTAAACATGCTCATTGAGCTAAGAGCAGTGTCAACGTATCAGAAGAAACGGAAGAGTTAGGTGTCAGCTCAGGATGGTACCTTGGGTTAAGATGGACCGAATCCTTCTTGCTGGGGAGTGGGGCGGCTCCCCTCGCTGCTCTAACAGCAGAGCTCAACACACAGGCTGCAGAGGGGAGGAAAGTGCTGAGCTGGTTTTCTGAGTCCAGGAAAAACCTGATGTAACCAGGGCAGGGGAGAGGCGGAGGGGCCTGAGAGGGCACTGGGTGAGCAATACTGTGACAGGGCTGCCCCGGCAGCCCTCGGGAAGCCCATCTCAGAGGTATCCAGGAGCAGACGGCCAAAAAGGAAAGACTCGACAACGGCAGCAGGGTGGCCGGAGGGGAGTGAGACAGCATGGAAAAACAGGTTCTGGTTGAGCCTCTGGCAGGGTGGCTTCTAAGAAGCCTGCGGACAGGCCAATGTCCTAGAAGGGGAGAGGCGGGAAGGGGGCTTCCCCAGGCTGGGGGACAGAGCCTTGCTGCTGGCCGCTGCTGGGACACCCGCTGCCCCACTGTGCAAGTCCAAGGAGCACGAGGGACACAGCTTGGGAGCGGCAAACCTCTCAGCAGTCAACATCCGTAGGAAACACAACAGAGCACACCGCTTCCCCCCTCTGCGTACACACACACACACACACACACACACACACACACTCTCTCTCTCTCTCTCTCTCCCTCTCTCTCTCTCTCTCTCGTACACCCTGACGAGGGACACGAGGACCCCAAAGTCGAGGCCTGCCCCCCCATTTACACTGTGTTCGGTGGTACTGATCTTTGCTTCCCCTTTTCACGCCTCGGTGTTCTGCCAACCATACCACCCGCCCCCGCCAAAACCCCGACAATTCTTTTCATAAGCTATTTCTCAAAGAACAAAACAGAACATAAACAAGAACGAGGGGAAGGAGGGGAGAAAAACAACCAAAGAGTCTGCATGAAAAGCAAGCACTCAGGAGGAAAATATTAGCAGCAAAGTAGTTTGGACTGGGCCCGCTAGGCTCGCGCTCTGTCCTCTCCCCACGTGGCTACCGGCTGTTGAAGATGACCTCCAGCCAGCACGGGCAGCTGCTGATGAACTGGCGGGTGTAGCACTGGCCCCAGCCCTTCACGAAGCTGATCTGCACGGTGAAGCCAGTCCACGGCTGCTGCATGAACTCGTGGTCGTTGGGCCGCTGCAGGCTGTACGCTTTCTCGTAGTCAAAAGCCTTGATGGAGAAACCGGGGAACACTTTGTGTACCAACAGCGTCCTGGAGTCCGGGTTGTCCAGTGTGGCTGACTTGATGAAGATGGGGTAACTGCTGCGGTTATACACCCACACGCCATCCACTTCCCGCGTGAGCTGGATGCCACAGCCGATTTTGCTCCGTACTTTCTGCACCAGCTGACTCTTGTTGTCCGAATTGAGCTGTCCGAGGCAAAAGCCATTCCCCTGAGGTAGATCATAAAAGATATCCAGGGAGGGCTCCTGGACACAGTAGAGCCTCCCCACTCTCGTCTTCTCCTCCCAGTATGCCACCACGCACCAGTGTGACCGATCCCCAGGCTCCAGAAGAAGTTGGGAATCTAGAAAACAAAACGGTGGACATGGTTGGTGGTGATGGAGACCGGCCTGTTTCCTCTTCCTCCCGAAATCAAGATCTCACCCCCCCATGATCAGCTTGTCTCTCAGGGCAAGACAGAAGGAGGGGATGGGGCGCTGGATGTGCTGCAGGCCCAACAGTCCTCCTACTGGGGCCTGGAAATCGTGACCCAGTGATGGAAGAGCCTTGCCTCTAAGCATGGGGCTTGCTGGGGAGCCTCTTCCCTCCACTCCCCACACCCCGTCAAGAGACCCAGGATACCAGCCCGTGTGCTCACCTGGCCAAAGGAAAGCCCCAACGCTGCAGAGCTCAGAAGCCAAGACCACTTAGTAACTTGGCTAGTCCTGGTTTTAGGGCTAGAAAAGGCCTTACAGTTGGATGGTCTAGAATTACAGTTCTTTAAACTGGATGGAACCTTGAAGGCCAACTGCTCCAGCCCCTTGTCATCCTCATGAGAAAACCTGGACTCAGAAAGCTTGCTGCTCAGGCCCCAGGGATGATGGAACCAGACCTAGACCCCAGGACCACCTGCTAAGCAGTCTTTGTGCTTGTTGTCTCCCAGTTCTCAGATCAGTGCCTTGGTCATAAGGAGGCACTATCCGGGGGGAGAAAAAACTTTTTTTTTTTTTAAAAAAAGGAGAAGCCACTGCAGAGTTTATTCCCCACCACAAATATTTATTTACTTATTTATTTCTTTGGCTGTGCTGGGTCTTGGTTGCAGCATGTGGGATCTTCGTTGCCACGTGCAGAATCTTCGTTGCTGCGTGTGAACTTAGTTGTGACACGTGGGATCTAGGTCCCTGACCAGGGATCGAACCCTGGCCCCCTGCATTGGGAGTGTGGAGTCTTAGCCACTGGACCACCAGGGAAGTCCCATATCCAGGAAAAATTTTAAAGGACGTGATTTGGGGTAAAAATATCTATCTTCCTAATAGAAAAATAACTCTCAATGTGTCTGTCAGCGGCAGCTCCGTACACGTGAGTTCAGGTAAAAATGCCAAATCACAACCTGCAAGTTGGTGTCAGCCCAGACTACCTTAACTTCCTCCAGCCCAGACAGAAGATGATGTGTTTAAAGTGGGTACCGCCATGCTTGCAGGGTCCTGCTTGCTGCATCTTCCTCTTTCTTCCCCTTCCCTCCCTAGAAGCATCTAAAGTCGATGCCCTGCCCCCTTCCTGCCCTGGAGGGCCCAGCCCGGCTTTCCTAGACATGCTTCTTCCCACAGGCAGCAGGGTAAGGTGACTCCCAAACAGGCGCTCAGAGATCTTTAAAAGGGGGGAGTATATGAAAGGAAAGGGGGTCCTGGAGGCTGGCATTCCGACTCCTCTAACTCCTCCTTTAAGCTGGAGCCGGCGGGGCAGGACTCAGACTGGGAACCGTACGTCTCCCCAGCCCAGCCGGGCTGCAGGAACACTGCGGTTTGTGGTGGCAGGGCGGAGACCGGAAGTCTTGTATTTGTTAACGAAAATGGGGAGAGACAGGGGGAAGGCCTGGCAGGCAGCAGAGGCGGCCTCCTGCCCTCCCTGTAGGTCCCTGCTTCTCACTTACTGGGGTGGGGGGCTTGGGGCATAGAAGTTGGGGGTGGTGTGTGATGTCTTTGGGTTTGATTGGCCTTTTTGGTTTTGGAACCACTGGGTTTAGAGCCTGGATGATGATGGGTTATACAGCACAGCAGCTGGGGGTAAAGGAGGGCTCGGGTCTCGATTGTCCTGCTGCCCCAGCAGGCTGGGTAACCAGTGCAGCTCAGCACACCAACTCCTTCCAACGTTAACAGGCATGTAAGGACCTGGGAACCAGTCAGCTGCATTAACTTTACATGGAGGTGTCCCGTGAATAAGTCTGTACAAAGGCACTCGGTGACCCACTGAGGCAGCCACAAACACCCACCCTGAGCACCAGTCGCCTGGACGCCCCCCACCTGGCCTTCTCAAATGCCTGCCCCGCCAGCTACACAAGACAGGGAAGCTGAGGGCTCCTTCCTCCCCTCAACCACCACCCCACCGAAAATCAACACCAGAAACCTGGCCCATCACCCCTGACCCCGACATTCATCTCTAAAGCACAAGTGTGAAAGAGGCTGTGCGCATGGATATGAGCACACCTCGAGTGTGTGTTATGTGAACGTGTTTGCATGCGCATACACAGCAACATACGGAAAAACAAGAGAGGTACAAGAGCTCCAAGCAGAAGGTGAGTCATCAGGCCTTAACTTGTTTCTGCAAAGCATCCATCAACTGCTAATAAACTCGTGAGCGCTGGCAATCTTTTGAACCCTCTTGCCGAGGGAGTTCAGCTCTGAAGGCTATACCAAAGACCCATAACATCCACGTAAATAAAAATGCTCTGACGTCCAAGTCTGCCGGGTTGGAGACAGCCCTCTTCTGGAAGGCACAGGGCGCCCACCTGCCTGCTTGTCTGAGGCGAGAGCGTGTTTCCAAATGTAAGAAGTTCTCACTTATTATCCCAACTCAGGACAACAAACCGGCCTGGAAAGGAAGGCTCAGGAGTTGCTGGGAGGGAGGTTCAGGAGACCCTCAGCGGAGCCTCACAATACTTTGTTTCATGGAGCCCGGCTCCCCTGAAACCTGGCACCCGCCAGAGTATGGGGGTTG